CTGACTTACTTCACTCTAGGTCCATCCACCTCACTACAAATAACTCAGTTTCATTTCTTTTCATGGCTGAGTAATATTCCATTGCATATATGTACCACATCTTCTTTATCCATTCAACTATCAATGGACACTTAGGTTGCTTCCATGTCCTGGCTATTGTAAATAGAGGTGCAATGAACATTGTGGTGCATGACTCTTTTTGAATTATGGTTTTCTCAGGGTATATGCCCAGTAGTGGGATTGCTGGGTCGTATGGTAGTTCTTTTTTTAGTTTTTTAAGGAACCTCCATACTGTTCTCCAGTGGCTGTATCAATCTACATTCCCACCAACAGTTCAAGAGCAACCCTCATTCATTTTACTAACCGTGAGAACTTTGGCAAGTCACGTAGCTTCTGAGCCTCAGTTTCCTCATGTCTGAAATGCAGATGTTATTAACTGCCTTGCAGTGATGACTTGACACAAGTTTTGGATTTGAAAACGTTGATAGGAGGCACAGTCTTTGGTTGAGTTTAAGACATACGCACATGCACATACTCATCCATATATGTCTAATGTAGCCATCACCTATCATGGAGGACATTGTTGAATCAAGAGTTCATTATTTCTATTTTTATGGCTTCAGCCAAGGACTTTATGTTCTCTAGAGTACGGATGGAAAAGCCAAACGTCTCCAGGGGCCAGGTGGTTAACATAAATGACTGAAGTAGACCAAGTATAGGAAGATTGACGGTACAAGCTCAATGGGAATGGAACTGAGACACAGCCTTGGTTCAGGGAGACAGTAGGGCATGGTGGTGCCCTGGAGAATCTGTGCAGCCAGTTACCACTGCCTGCATTGATTGCCACAGGGCGGTAGAGCTGGCTTCAGAAGCTGAGATCTGAATGTTATGTGAGGCCTCTTGTTAATAAATGTTGACAACGAATTTTAAAAATCTTAAACACTGGGTGGGCCAAGCGGAACATCTCTGCAGGCCAGGTTCGGCCATGCACTGCCAATGTGTCACCTTCAACCTAGAGCTTGGTAGGACCGTGTAGCCTGATGGGTTAACTTGGAATACCCTGACGGCCTTGGATTTCCTACCAGCGTGACGTTGTTCTTGTAAGGCCTCCAGTAATGCTCCAGCTCTTCATTTTTGGCACTGCGTCTGGCTCCGGTCTTGCCTTTTGACTATCTCGAGCTTTGACCCTCCCAGGTGTCTGATGTCCTGCCAGTCCCCATATTGTTTATTTTACCGCCACGTGAACCTGGTGTTTTGTGTACACCTGGATAGCATGGCTTGGATGGGAGCACAGTGCTGATGAATGCATGTTTAACTGTTGGAAAAATAAGAAGAAATGTTTTTTCACCCTTATTATAGACTTACCTCCCATTCAGCCTCCTGTGATCTTTGAGAATACGGGGCAGGGTTCCTGCTGTGATATTTCTTCTCTGTGTCAGTGTGCCAGGTCCTGCTAACCACTTTCGAAGCCCCTTCTGTTTACACAATCCCTAGAAGTCCCTGGAATTAAAGGATTTTATGAGCATGCTTTTCCCGTGGGATCAGATTGCACTGGGGAAGAGGCTGGTGGGCCCGTGGCTTTTGACAGAACTCTGATCACATCTTATCCCTGCTTAAAAGCTTTCCATGGCTTCCTGTCACATACAGAAGCAAGAATTAACATTTATGGAGCCCAGCGGTTACTGGTTGTTTTATAAATTGTCCCAGTTAGTCCTTCCAGTCCACTCTTTATGTTGGGAACTATTACACAAAGGCCTATTGCACAATGATGCAGGTGGAGTTCAGGGAGGTAAACTGACATGCCCGAGGTCACACAGTAAGCATGACAGGTGATAGAAGTGGAATCCTGTCTGCCTGACTCCAAAGTTCCTGGTTAAATTGGAAAAAAGTAACTCTGCCAGAGTGGGTTACGTGGCTGAGTAGACTCCTTTGTAGAAAAGATATTTATATTTAGGTCTTGAATCAGAGTCTGCCAGCGGTACTTTAATCCAGATGTTAAAAACATTACTTCCCAGAGTTGTCAGGAAGATCAGAGGTGATCATTTATGTAAGAGCTGTAAAACCCTGTGCACGCATGTGATTCTTTCTCTGTACTAGTTCTGGGCAGTGTATTGCAAATGAACACATCTGGGTCATTAGGGAGACTGAGGCAGGAGAGTGGCCAGATCTGTACAAATCCATCTCAGCATCTAAGGAGGAGGAGCCTTGCTTTTTATCCTTGTTCAAGGTCAACCTACACTTTCCGGAGCTTTGTAGCTTTGTGCGTAATCTGTATAGACAGAGTTCATGTATACTTAAGAATAAAGGCTAACTGGCCCTGTCTCTGAATGAACTTTAGAGTCAGAGTATTCTATTGCATACTCTAGTTACACCTCTTATCAGCATAGTGGGCACTGAGGCAAATTATAATCTCTGACCCTCAGTGCTCTGGCTATATACTGATAATTAATTTAGAGGGTTGTTTGGAGAGTTAAATCAGTTGATGTATCCAAACCTCCTGGCACATAATAGGTGCCCAATGAATGTAAATTTACTCTCACCCTTTTAAAAGAGGGAAGAAAAGAGAGGAAGGAGGTCTTGGGAAGTGACCCAGTTTTACCTGGAGCGGAGGAATCGTTAGTCCTTCAGGCTGTAGTACTAGAAATAAAATATCTCGTTTGTGAAATACATAATGGCAACCAAAGAGGTCGGGAATTCTCTCAGTGAAAGGTATGAATCATGGGCTGTTGGTTGAGTTTTTAGTTCTTGGTAGATATGGCAGCCCTTTAAAAATCCAACTGCACCAAAGCCGAAACAGCCAGAGCTGGGGGTTTTAAGGTGGCTGAAGTTCTTTATTTTAAAGGATAAAATGTGTTTATTTTAAGCCCTTTCAAATAAGAAAGATCATTCTAAGTCCTTTTTCATACCCACGATTAGACTAAAGACAGGTGTCTCTTTGTCACGGAATCTGAGATTTTTCCAAAGTTGAGGAACTCAGAAACAGTGCTCAAGGTTGTGTACTGAGCACCTCACACAGTGCCCAGAAACTAAACTCAGGAACTGTCTATACATGCTTGTGGAATCCAGCTAAGACCAAGGACTTGGGCTCAGGAAACCCAG